AAACGCCTCCTGACGTGTGGGAAAACCTTAATCCAGGCTTTACTGTTGTTGTTTTGATGACCCAGACCACCCTTGAAAATTAGACCATCCTGGCCTCTTTATTTCTCACCTGGTTTCAACAAAATGAACGTAACTAAAAAAGAACCAATCCAAGCAGTTGATTGACAAGGAGGACGATGTAAGTCAGCCATCAATTTATGCCTCCGCCAGACAATTCGACATTCTGATAGAATCCATGAAGTTGCATCTCTCCCAAGACAACTCGGCGTGTTTGAAACTGTTGTTGGTGTTATTAATCGATCGTCATCGACGGTGGTGGTGGTACTGCCATGGGTAGGCTGTCTCCCGCTGCCTACTACGCCCAGCGGCTCATCCAGCACCTGACGCGCAGGGACAGCATCCGGCAGCGCGTTCTGCGCTACCAGCACGTGCGGCACGGGGAGGGGGCGCCGCGCCCCCAGCCGTGTCCCATACGGGGCTCAACGACGACGATGAACCCGAGTGAGTGCCGCCACATTTTGCCGCCCCCACCTCTCTTCACCCTTCCTCTCTGACAGCAACCACCATCATCATACTGTGCCTCGGAGCGCATCTCACGACGCCAGAACAAAAGGGGGGATTTGAGATAATCAGGAGTCACTCGGTAAGGGAGTGATTTGCAGGCCGAATGCAACGTGCAAAAGACGATGCTGGATAGACAGTTGCTGTTGTTGTTGGCAGCATTTCACTCCCCACTGCTTGGCAAAGGCCTTTCCCATTTTCTTGTCTATTTATTTATTGACCTCCAAACTCTCCAATTTCATCTTGCATCTCCGCATGTGCGGTGCAGTCATTTTTGTCAATCCACTGCTAGATGAGGGCCTCCCCAACACTGCGTGTCGCTGGGGGGTGTTTTTGGGGTACACGCTGGCCAGTGTGGGGTGAGTGAAGGCGAGGATATTGGTGTGCAGTACCACAATGTCTTTTTTAGCTGTCTGCCACCCAGCACGTAGTGCCACGGCCTATAACGATCTGTTTTGCCTGGTGGCTGCCTATCTAAGCACTATCCAGGTTCAGTCCTGCTTAGCTTCCTAGAATGGGATGGGATTGGTCAAAGGCATAATGCAATACCTACATTTAAATGTTAATACAATATGTGTACGCCTTTGTATAATCCTCCTTGATTTATCTTTGCAAATGAGTGTTTTTTAATCTCTCGCATGCCCTTAGGTAGATAAATAAGACAAATTGAAAATTGTTATTTAATTGTATCTTAACAGGAGTGGAGCTGTTTTGTCACCCAATTAAGTTAACAAAAGCAAACCGAAATTGCCAGAATGTGTATCCCATGCAGCTGTGAAAAAGGTTAATTTGTTTTCTGATACTCATCCCTTTTTTCGTCGTTTTTTTTCTCAAGACGGATGAACCTATGCAGATAGGTTCAAATTGCCGTTTAGTTTTGTATCAAGTGATGCACATTTTGATTTCTTGAAAAATGCAGCACATTCCCACCTGAGTGCAATAACTCCAAAACGAACGCAGAGAGTTATGTGTTTGATGTATTGAAGTCTCTCTTTGAAGATTTTCATTTCAAACATTTATTTTCCTTTTTGTATATTTTTGGATGTAGTTATTTGTGTTTTGTTTGTTGTTGCGTTTCCGTTTCCTTTTATGTAATATCCATTTTAAAATATTTCAACGGGTTCCCTTTTGTGAAATTGTATTGTTTTGACAGTGCACTTTTAAATTTCGTGACAACTTTTGTACTTTTTACCTTTTTTTTACATTGTCCCCAGTTCTTTGCTGGGTTCCATTCTCGCACATTTACATCTTAAATCTGTAAGCCCGCCTTTAGTCTAGATATGCAAACAGGCTTCTTGATGCCATCCACAAAGAAAACTCAACCCTAATTTTTAAACAGCGTGCGTAGCTTTTTACGGTCGTGCTGTATACTTCTCTGACGTGGTTTTTTGGGTTGTGCCGCATGCGTTGTACGGCAAGCCCGGGAGCTGCTTCAGTTCCCAAACCAGGCTTCCGGAGGCTTAGAGCGAACGTCGGACGCACCGAGCGAACAACTCGAGACACAAACCTGAGTGTGCAACGGAGAGCTTCTCTCTCGTTTTGTTTACCTTTAGAAGCACGTGCAGGATTTCTCTCTCCAAACAGTGTTGGGTGCCTTTTTCCGGCGCGCACAATCTCGAGTCATAACAAGGTGTTGGTGGCGCTGTATTGGTGCACGGAGCCTCGCTTGCTCGCCTGTCACTTTGAATACAGCTCAGCGTGACCCCCATTATCCCAGCCAAAAAGAGAATATGGCTCTGCAAGGCCTTCATCTGCTGTGGCCGCGTTGAGCCCCTCTAGTTTGCTTGTAAATCTACTTTAGGGACCAGCTTGCAATTTTCATATCACCGGTCAGCCTATTTTATCTTGAGTAAGAGTCACAAAAGGCCCGTGGCGGTTAAGGAGCATGCCAATCAAGGGATAATGTGTGAATAAATGACACTGTCTCCCGTATGTCACTCTTTCCCCTCCACCCCACCATGTTCTTCCTCTTTGTTGTAGTTGTCCTCGTTAGAATTTGTAGCGTTACAAAAGCACATTGATTGTTCAAAGTAACGTGTTTGGCCCACAGGGACATGCGTTTGGCCGGCATATGCTTCATTACAAACTGCTGTCTTTCAAAGTAAATCACCTCTCACTCCTTCGGGCGGCTTGGGTAGAGAACGGTTATGCAGACGGAGCTCCTGAAGGGCCACAAGGGAGTCGTGAGGATGCACAAAATATGAATTGGCCTGCCTAAGGCACAGCTCACATCTAGGCATTGCGCCGGCAATTAGCAACAGCGCGTTGCCTTCCGCGATGCTTTTTGAAAGCAGCATGCCAATAATGGTATTGCACCACATTGTTCTAATTTATAATCCGTTGTGCAGATGTCGTGACATTAATCCTGCCTGTTCGTGGCGAGCATTAAACATTCAACGTGACATTTAAATTAATGCGTTTCAATCGGCAAGGCGACTTGCTTTGTATTGAAAATTGACGAGAAGAAGTCCTGAGCACGAAAAGCATTTAAGTGCTGAGGATATAGTGTGTGTTCCATCAGTATGAGCATATCGTGTCCTCATACTGTTGGAGCTTTAGTATGTAATCGTCTCGAAATGGTCTCCATTGAAAACATTTATTTGACCGTTCACTATATTATTTCGACTTGGACTTGTGCCATAGCAAAAACAAAGTGTATATCATCTTGAAACACGGACTTTTTAAAAGTAGTTTATCATTCCTAGCTCCTAAATAGTCAATCAACCTGTAATGCCTGGCAATCAGTGCCCTAGAGACATGAGGTCGTTTACATTGACTCAAGTGATTCACAGCGAGACCTAGCGTACCAGGTGCTCCTTATTTCCTGCCACATTGCTCACTGTCCCCAAAGCTTAACTTGCAAAGCCCCATTATATATTATGTATGTGGCTGTTTATGTATTTGTTGATTATGAAATTAGATAACAAGTTAACAAAAATATGATTTGGGACAAGTTTCAATGTCATATCTATCTCCGTGTCATCAAGCTCGATAAAAATTTAATTCACTTAGGTCCCCGTGTCATCTTTCTCCGTTGTTATCCCACCCTGGTGCCCGCCCTTACCCCGTGCCCATCTGTCTTGGCTTCTTGTCGACACTGTTTCTCACGCCCAAGCTGTTTATAGTCGACTCGGTTATCCATTTCTTTCCCCCTACAGTTTGCGCGAGGAATACTGCAACAAACATTCCCCGTTTAGGAAAATTAATTGCTTACTCCATTAGCAAGTTGCCATTTGCCGTACGCAAGTGGACTCTGTATCTTGCGAAGCCATTATTAGAAGCCGTTATTATTATATTAGTTTTTTTTTAGCATCGTAAATAAGTGCGCCATTTATACCGTGTGCACACCTGTTGCGTGGAAACTCATTAGCTATAATAGGGACCCCCCACGGTGCTTGCAGCTGTGCGCCGTGTACTGCATTTCTATTTACAAGGCCCCCAGATCCCACAGAATGTGTGGCGGCGTCTAAATGTCACCCAATCCAACCGGGTGCACTTGCCACCATATGCTACCGGTGTGATTGCGTCAAATGGAAAAATAAACGCGTTGATATTCCGCGGACCAAGTGGTAACGTTCGAAGAAATGTTGCGCTCCTTGTCAGCTTTGAAATTGGTGGCGGAGTGGCAGCGACTGGATGTGATCGCTCATGGAGTCGCCGTTGTGACTTCTGTGCGACAAAGGGGCTATGCCTGTGCAAATCTTATGTGAAGGGCTGTTGCTTATTTAAATTATCCAAAGGCGGGTGATCCAATATGCATGTAAAATGCATGTCAATAAATGCAATGTTTGCTTGTTGCCGCATTTTGTTTTTAGGTCAACCTGCAAAGCTTTACATGCTAAGCAGGCCCAAGTGACGTCATTCGCTGTGACGGTTTGTGGGCAGTTTTGCAATTACATCGAGGGTAGCACTGCTTTAATAAAACATAAGCGTCTTATGTTTGTATGAATAAATATTGCAGGAATCACCAGTTTGTTTTGTGCATAATGCTCTACTGTATTCGTTATTGAGGCCAACGGAGGTGTTATAATTGGTGATAGGTTTTGCATGTTTTATGTGTAATTCTATGTAAATGTTTTACATGTATTTTTAAGCTGCTATGCATAATTATATCTAATTTACTTGGCTGTGTACACAAGAACAGTGGCATGATCCGTATGTTGACAAATCCGCACAGGCCATCATGTATGCAGGTGAATTTTAAGGCCCTTTATTAAAATATATGCTGATCCTTTTAATCTTGTCATTAATTTTGTATTGGGGAAGTGCTAATAATACTGTTCATGGATAAAACAAAATAGATGAAAGTAATTACCTGGCAGATGGTGGCTGAACTTGATTGTTTCATCAGTCGCTTTACGTGGCTTTCTCTCTGAAAGTAACCACTACTTTTTAATGCTACATGTTATATAAATTTGTATCCAACGGTGCTATCTTTGTATGCACTTGTACAGCTACTATGTATTGTATTTGCACTTTGCCAGGCTTGACGGTGTTTTGAATGTTGTTTTAGGCTCCTTTAAAAACTTGACGAATGCTGGGATGCATTTCTTAGCATTCGAGGGGAAGGACATTTGATAGAAATAGCGTGGACAAGAATAGCGAGACGAGGAGAGGTAGTGTTTAATGTAGCAGAATTTTGAATGCATTTTTCTATAATATTGGTAGTCTTATTACGCTATGAGAATGCAAGAGACAGCATGTACAAGTAAACTCGGTAGTTGATGCAGCTTAACGTAGCCTATAATGACAGAAGCCGAAGGCTTATGGTGTTTATTCAGCTGTATTTTGTTGAGTTGTGGCTTCTGCTTTTGTAATGTAGTTTTCATTCAGAACTTCTTTTGAAATGTACTCAATCATATTGTATGCCCTTTGTGATAGCTTCCAGCAGAATTGATGGTTATGCACAACATTCCACATTAGCGATGTGCTTGCCGTCATCTTTAAGTAGTGCTCGTGGATTGTGAGAAATTTGAGTCTTCTCGAGTTTTAGTTTTTCAATGGAGGGAAAACATACGAGAAGTGGATGGTTTTGGTGTTGGGGTTTGGAGGCAGTTCATTGGGCCAACCACATTGACAGGTTTGGGGGGTACAGTGACCGACCATTAAGAGATATGCCAGTGTCATTTTGGGGGTTCTCTTTAAGTTTCAGGAGCCAAGCCAGAGGCTCGATAGAGAGTGGTTGAGCACTCCTGCCTTGTGCGCTGAGGCCCCCCGTGATTGATGTGGCAGAGCAGCATTCGGAGAATGAAGCTGTCGTAGTAAGTAATGGGTGCAGCAGGCAGGCTGGGGCCGGTGGCTAGGAAATAGAAGGTTTAAAAAAAAAAACAAGGTGCTTGAGAGAACAGCGCCTCCCCGGAGGATGATGGTGAACAGCCCTGATTTATCCCAGCGTAGCGGGTACGCGTGGTGGGTTTCGGCAGTGCCGGGGGGTTGCCCCGTAGTCCCTTGTCCTCCCCGCGGGAGCCGGCACAACTCTGGCGCAGTTTGGTGGTGCCTGTGCGCTCGCTAATCAGTTCAGAAAACGGTGCGGTGGGTTTGTGTGAACAGTCCTGCCACTTGTTTTCTTTGTCATCCTGTTTCATAAAACACAGTAATATTGTAAACGGCACTCGTTGGTTTTGTTTCGTGCGCTGCTGGTTTTTCTTTTTGGAAAAGCGCACGCGTTAGAGGAAAAACCCCACGGGCGTTATTTAACGCCATTAAAGTTTAGGTAAAGCAAAAATATTCGTGACCACAAGCACATGTCAGGGTATGATTTGTTATTTTGCTGTTATTTAATTATGTTCAATTTAGTCTTGTCCTACATACGGTGTGCCGGCTGGCCTTTATCTCATGGCCTTACAGCTTGACTGCAGACATAATTTTTGTCTCTGCTGACCCCTGTGGGTCGAGATAGCTGTACGCTCACACACACACACGTGTTGGATCGTTTTTCTCCAGTCACCTGGTTCCCCTCTCCCCCCCTACCTCGTTCTCCCACCATCTTCACCCCAATTCCATCATCCATTCGATCCATCTCCCAATCGTCCAACCCCTTCTCCCTTGTGTGCCCCCACCCATCTCCCTTGTTCTCCTCCGTCTCTCTCTCTCTCTCCATTCCTCTCCCCCGTGTGTGTGGCCCACTTCTAGCGATGGCGGGAACGAGCGATCACGGCCGCGTGTTGCTCCCCGATCGCGCCTGCCTGTGCCATCCCTCGGCCGTTTCACCCCCAGGTGAGATGAGAAAACTCCTCCGCGCCAGGTCACGCTCCGTCCATTGCCCTGCGATGGCCCCCCTCCATCGTTTACTGCGAAAAGGATGCTCTGAATCTTGTTTGTTTCACAGGTTTGATGTTTGATTTTCGGAATTTAAGTCGGGTCACTTCACGGGCATTGATGGTCCCGCATTCATGTCATTACTGAGCAAGGTATTTTGTGATTGAATAAAGATAATAAAGTAAAGGGGTGCAACCCCTCCTCCCCCACCACCCTGCCTCCTCCTGCTAAGTACACATTATCATTGGTGACATTTCATGTGCAGTAGAAGCTGGATATAGGCACTTTATGATATTCCATTTTACTAATGGGGTTTGGGGCGGGGAAGGTGAAAGGCAACTTCTGTTACAAGCACACTTTGGATATAAGCACAGCTGGATTTACTGCTTAGGGGGTGTGCTTTTAATCACCGTCACCTGTATGTGGGCCCCTAACGAGAGTGCCCGTCAAAACTGCATCAGCATCAGCACATGGGAGTCGAACGTTCCTGAGCCTGGCTCCATTGAAACTATTGCCTAAATATGAACAAACTAGATTTGAAGCTTTCGTGACTGCAGGAATCCATACTCTTTGGTTCTTTCGATAAGTCACATAGGTAGAAATAAAACAAATCACGACGTTTCGATAGCAACACAAGCCACTGTCTTCAGGTGAAAATCGCGACAGCCGAGATGTCTGCTACGAAGTGCACGATGTCTGCTGCCTTGTGAAGAGAAGCTGTTATCAGCAAGAGTTTACTTAAGTTTTTGAAAACAAAGGTAGCCGAAGTAGTGTTAATAGGGTATTATAGTGTAGTGATTTATTTTGTTTTATTTCTACCCATGTGGCTTACCGGAAGAACCAAAGAGTATAGTATGAACATGTGTCCATGTAACGCCCCCGTGTCATCCACTGCTGTATGAGGTCCTCCTCTCAGCCATGCAGATTGTGGGGGTTATTTGACCAAAACTCGCCACGCTGGTCCATGCTGCTTGGTGAATGCGGGGATACGTAGATGAGGGGGAATAGAAGTACAGTACAACAATGGATTTCTCTGCACTGTCGGACCACCACGTAGCCCAACAGCATATAATTCCTGCTATGCACGGTGGCCGCCCATCCTTGCAATATCCAGACTCAAACCTTGCTTACCTTCCGAGATCTGACAGGTTCAGGTGCATTCCAGGTGAATCGTTAATCGATAATTTAGTCTGGCCAAAAAAGAGGGATCAGTTTCAATGTGTTTTTGTCAACATATTGTTGAGAACCATGTTTGGCCTGGTTTTTTTGGTACACAAAGACTGCTGTCCAAGTTATCTACAACATGTACATTTAAAAACTGTAGTAGCCAGCTCTTGTACAGTTGTGTTAAACACCGAATTAATAAATAACTGCGTGTTGTGAAGACCCAAAATCTCAGACCTATGTAGAGGAAACATTCCTCATCGTGTTGGCTATCACAGTAACAGATCTGCGTAGCCTTTTTCCTCCGTCCTGTTTTTGGTAGAAGATCCAAAAACAACAGGTGCTAGAGATTTTGGAGCCATACTTTGCAATAACCAAGTAAAAATGTTCTTGCTTTAATTTAATTACGGTGCCGAAATGGCTTTAGCCTCTGGGAGAGATGGGGTAAGAAAGATTAAGACTACCGTTCCCCAGCGGGGTGATCGGAGAGGTGTGATGTGTCAAATTTCTGATTAGGAGTTCTCCATGGGTGTATCTTACGAGACGCATTTTACACATTTCTCCAGAATAAACACACATCCACTGTCCTGCCAAAGGGTAACATGCTCAATGATGCTGCTGCTGATTAGTTCTCCGTGAAAGACGGCCATTGGATTTTGTGAGACGATAAATAAACGCTTCCCGAGGAAGACTATTGTTCCCAAAAACGTGCGTGGTAAAACTAATTACATTTCAATATGCAGCCAGATAATTAGAATATTAATAAATAAACAACGGTGCGGCGAATTTTAATCGCCGCCGCGATGCGATAAAGGCACTACTGAATATGGTAAATCGAGGAAAGCCGTTTTTGTGTGTGATGTCGGCAACTGTATAATTTCTCAATGTTCCTAGCGGTAATGATCGGTGGTTGTGCCTTTGCTATAATCACGAGAGCATCGTGTCCTGTGAAATCTGCCGTTATTATGAGATGCTAAATTGTTGCAGTGTGATGTGAGTGCAAGGTTTCTCCATTGTGTGGGTTGAATTGGCCCTGTAATCATATTTTGCCATTGCAATCTTTGCGTACAAAAAGAAAACACGAGCGTGTGCTTCAGTTCAAGAACAGGAATTGGCATTTGGGCAGCACTTTGATTGGTCAATTGATGTTGAGCTGTAAAGCCCCAGGTGGGTTCCTAGTAGGGTTGTAAGTAACATTGCATCAATTCATCAATTAATATCGATTCGTAAGCCAACAAATAACATTAAACCACACGTCGAAGAATCAATGTTTTTTTAGATTCATAAATGTATGCAATCGGATCATGTGCCCCCTCCAGCCACTAGAGGCCACTACAGTCGCCACAATGTAAAAACAAAATCTAATTGTGTCATGGAAATTCATAAAGTGCCAGGGAGGTGATTCGTTTCACCTCCCGTTCCTTGTGTAGTTCCATTGAGGCAGACACAATTTAGTTTAGTGAGCGAGTGGTGGCACGGTGGTTAGTGCACTACGCTATGAAGCCTGTGACTTGAGTTTGATTCCAGACAATGGCTAATATCAGTGGCAAGTGATATTTGAAGCGGTGGTGGGTTGTTACCCTGCTCCCCACTCGACCAACCCACACTGATGAGCGTGGTGAAGTATCGTAATTGCCAAAACCCGGCATGGGGGAGACCTTCATCCAGCAGTGGATTGAGGAAGGTGCTCTGAATAATTGTTTTTTAAATCCTTTATATTAAGTTCGCGTGCTTGCTTGCTTGCTTGCGTGCTTGCTTGCTTGCGTGCTTGCTTAGGACCGTGCAAATATTTCGGTCGTTTTTTAACCCACTTCCCGTGATCCAATCGAGCCGACATTTTCCACACAGACTCGTTGTGCGTGACAATTAATTTTCGTGAAAAAAAAAATCAAAAATTTTACACTGTTTAGGGAAAACAAATTAAATATTTAATTACCAATTGCTTAATGGTGGCAGACAATCATCTGACCCATAGGTGGCAGCCATCTCAAGCCAGAGGACGAGAGGACTCTAGCCGCCACGCATATAAAGGATTTATAGTTAAAAACTTTGTTTTTACGGGTTATACTTGTTTTTTATTGCGCTCACCTATACGTGCCACAGCAGTGTGGAGGTTGTATGGGTTTGTTGAGGAAGGTGAGGGGACCAGCTGGCGGAAGTGCATTTGTCAGATTACCTTAGAGATTAAGCCCTGCCATTTATACAGGCGAGCCTCCGCGCATGACGTTACCTCCGACAGGTCATTTGTTAGAACGGCCCGAGGTGGAGCCCGCCGCAATCGCCAGCGTATCATCACCAGGCCCCCACCACCGTCACGATGCTTTATGGAAAGCCGTAAAATTCAGTCACGCTCTTTGACTGGGGACAGCGCCCCACAATGATGTCGAGACCTGCTGATTAACTTCTTTGGCAAGCTTACATAACAAAATAACTGCTGCATCACGTATCTTTACGCAACTATTTTAAGGAGCCAAACGTTGCTTTATATGTCCGCAATGTTTCAGTCGCCAAAGTTGATGGTAGACCTTTCCGATGCCGCTTCCATAGCCGAAATGTGTGTATTTGTGTGTTTTTTAAAGCAACTGCAAATACTGCACCAATGCCAGGGAAGCTTGTTTTGTTATTAAGGCTATGTGGCGATGAGTGCTTTCATAAAGAGTGTTTAGTTGAACGTCTTTTAAACTATAATCACCGCATTGCCCTCTTGTGGGATATTTAGACACTGAAGACAAAGACTTCTTTGCATTAACACAGCAGTGGCTTACAGTTTTTAAGAGCGGGGTGCTTAGCATTTACACCAGCGAGCGTGTGTAATTTCCATTTTGTGGGGGGATTTGGCTGTAGACTAAGCATTTATTGCACTTTTCGATTTAAAGCTTTCGTGACTGCAGGGATTCATCTTCTTGGTTCTTTCGGTAAAGTCACGTAGAATGGAAATAATAAAATAATAAAAATAAAACATAATAAACGTCGTGAGAATTATTTAATTATGTTTTATTATTTTATTATTTCCATTTTACGTGACTTTACCGAAAGAACCAAGAAGAACATTTATTGCACATCGGGAGATGCTATGGAAGCGTCGGGCGTGGGACTCCAACCGGTGCATTTGTGTTGCCGGATGCGAGCTTCCAGCCATTGCGCCAGCAGCACGTGAACCCCGATGGAGTAGGCACCGGGAGGTCTCCGCAGCGAGTGGGGAAAATTAACTGAGATGGAGGCACTGAGTCACAGTCCCTGTGTCCCCTGAGCTTGGTGTCGTGACTGTAAATACACCTCGACATCCGATAAGGCGCAGGGGCTGACGCGTCCCTGCGTTGGCTCTGAAAGTGCATAACCACTTGGCCTCCAACGACTGCGGATTGGCCGGGTTTGCCGCGAGCTTTGATTGGGTTTATCGACTTCTTGCAGCGCCTCAGTGTATTGTCTTATTGACAGTTAAGTCTCTTTACCAAACATACCGGCCTCTTTAAAAATGTTTCCACTGTTTCATAGGTGGTTAAGTGGTTAACCTCGTCGTTCAATTGGAAGCGTTGTCTGTTTTATTTGTCACCTTGTAAAGTTCATTGTCCGTATATATATGTTCATTTTATTAGCCGTCGTATTTAAAGCCCTGTTTTATAGTGGGATTATTAGTGGGCTGTTTGTCGGTCCAAAGTGTGGGTAATTCATGAGAGTCAGAGGGATACTCGTTTGTTCCTCACCACGGGCTTAAGGCATGACACATTCGTTTTAATAGTCGAGACAAACACTCCATCAACACCTACGTGTATCCCACCGAGGCTGTTAGCGCTTCTGCAACTGCATTGCGTGATGCTGGCTTGGGACATGAGTCAGTTCCATCTGTTAGAGCAAATTATTTCGGTCAATGACTAAATCCAGGGAACTGCTTGGTTTGAGCCTGTGGCTGTGTTACTGCCGGCCTCACCAAATTCTGAATGTGAACACCTGTTTCAGGCGCACGAACAGCCGAATCTTGCACGTAATTAAAAATGTTTTGCTCTGGGCATTTATAAAGCCTTGCACACTATCCCAGAATAAACATGCATCCGTCAGGCATCTGCTTCATGTGTGTGTATGGATATATGCTATAGGTGGTGTAGCGCATGCATATTGTGATAAATATCAAAAAGCTAGAACATATTTACCAATAACCCTGTCCTAAAAGGAACAAAAATACAAAAGGTGACATTTTCAAGAAATGGCCCTCCAAAGCAGAGAGGTCACTCTCTTAGGGTAGTATTATTGACTAATGTTTTTGTTATTTTTGCTTGTGTTCCACGACCAATGCAGTATCACAGAAACATCGTGTGTGTATGTATATATAGAGTGTGGTATGGGGAGCGGTGGCGCAGTGGCTAGCGTGCTGCGCTGCAAACCTGGCGACCCGAGTTAAATTCCCGCTCACAGCCAACACCACTAACAAATATCTAAACTGGTCCTGGGCCTCCCCTAGGTCGACTCAGCCTAAACGGAGCACCTGGTGCGATGTGTTAATATCGCCACTTGGGAGACAAATGTGGCTGAGCGTGGTGCTGGCCACCCACCCCCTTTTGTGTGCCGGCATTCATAGGTGCTCGCTACCTATCACTCGACGCAAAAGTCTGTTAAAGGCTATACATCTTTTGGTGAGACGCTGTGAGTTCATGTGATCCACTGTGACAGGATGATCTTTACCCACCATTCTCTTCTCCCTGGAGTTGGATTGAGTTTTTAAATGCAGGTGCTATAAAAACTTTGTTTCGTCTCTGCTGTGTTGTGCTGTGCAGGCGGTTCCTGTTGCCGGACTACTTACCTTACGCGGGCATCTTTCACGAGCGGGGGCAGCCGGGCCTCGCAACCCACGCTTCCGTCAACCGCGTGCTCGCAGGTAAAGACGCCGCTACGCAGGAGCGAGATTCAGCAGAATCCCGATGTTGCTTGCGTTCATCCGTCTCCCATGCCCGGTTTAAACGACGAGGTCATTGGGGGGGGCACTGCGCGTGTTGGGCAGCTCTGGTCGCGATCTCCCCTTTCAACTGCACCCCCCCCCCCCCCCGCACGGTCCTCGGCCTTGCCGATCAGCAGCCGCCTGCAGTGCCAAGGATCTGAATCCAAGTCGAGTTTCAAGTTACTGGGGGGGTCGGGGGGGGGGTGGTTATTTAATCAGGTGAGAACTCAGAGACCAAGGATTGTATTGATATGCTTTAGTGATCTTGGTCGCCAACATAACAAATACAAAGCAAATAAAGTACACCAGTGAAGGAATGAGAAATCGGAACAAACGCAACTGTCACGTGAGAAATTGGAAATGTCGCACGAACATAAATCACTATTAAATAATACATTTGGGGCCATCCATTTAGTACGTATGCAAAAATATGTCAAAATTTTACCCCTCTCCCCTCTCCTTGTACGCACACATACTTTTTACACCCCCCCCCCCCCCACCGGCTTACGTACGCCTGACGCACCCCCCCTCAAAATCCTATAGAACAACTGGTATTTAATCCACGCAGAAACGATCAAGGATTAATAATATTAACGTGTTTAAGCAAACAGTCCACCGCCGGACTATCTAACTCATCATTTGAAGGCCAATTTAGATAAATTATTATCGAGGCTTCCCCCCCCCCCCCCCCCGTTTCCTCTGCTTACGTACATTGTGAGTAGACCCCCCCATACGCAAGCGGACACATTTGGGTTAACTCCCCCCTTCATGCGTACATATTAAATGGATGGCCCCTTTCCTCTTGCATAAGTCGGCCGTGGGCAGATTATTTTTAGACTGATCATAATACAGTTAGAAAATTAAGTTACAGAAGCATTAGATAGATAGAAGGTAACTATTGTGCTGTAATGTAAACAGACTAGAATGTATTTTGTACTCAGTTTTCCTTTGGCGCTCCCTCTGTTTCTAGTACCTTCGATATTGCCTTGTTGTGGATGGGTTTGGTTTGTTGGATCTATTGATGTGCCCAAATAACTGTGGGTTTGTTCATCTTCCTGGCAGCTATAAGTTCTTTCTGTCCTAATTTGGTGGTAATTGAGCCCCATACATATACACTTCACTCCATACTTCTATGTATGTGCCCAGATGGAAATCTTTGCTCCCGTTCACACGAGCATCAATACTTACAATTCATGCACTTTCCTGCCTTTGAGTTGATGCCTTAAAGATCCTCTTCTAAACGTCTCTGTCATGACCGACCAAGAATTTTCCTTCGTCCAATTTGGCATTCTTCTGCTAAGGATAGTCATGTCTCTGGAGCGTGGGTAGTGAGCTGAGCCGCAGGAGCATAGAAGTACAGTATAGCAATGGATTTGAATGCACTGCTGACTGCCACATAGCACAGCTCCGTGCCACCAATTGCAGCCTGGCTTGCTGCTGGGTGATCGCCCATCTCAAGCACTATTCAGGCTCAGGCCTGCTTAGGTTGCGAGATCAGGTGCATTCTGTGTGACATTATTGGTATTTTAAGTATCTAAATGAAAGATTGTAATCTTTCAGCATTTGCTGGGTGCTTTTGTTTGTTTTTGCCCTCTGTGGGAGTTCAGGCTTGCAGCACTTGCAATAAACCGTGTTTATATTGCTCTGGCTGCAGCGATATTGAGGCAAGCAGGATCTCGTGTGATGGCCTCAAAAAAATGATTTTCACAGGTCCCCATGGGTGCTTGACCACAAATCAATTACGGCTGCCATCTCGGGTGGTTTCCACACGAGTGTTTGTAATTTTAATGTACATCCTCGACTGCATACAACGTGTATGCACGCACCATTATTATGTATGTGTGTAGTTTAGCGTTATATAATTATGCACTTCTTTGCAAGATTTTACATTTATAGAGCAACAACTTTTCACTGCTTTGGATGGTTGGCATTGGTTTATATTTTTTGCTTTTGAAGGAAAATGTATTTCATCAACTTTTCTTTAAATGCATTTGTCACTATGCAATTACAGTTTTTTTGTTCATATGTCTCTGGCTGGCTGGCTACCTACCAATGTAGTCCAACATGGAGATCATAGGGTGCACGACACACAACTGCGCACCCCTTGAATTTTCAGCTTAAAAGATGGCGAATGTTGACATTGTGCTCTCTGGAAAAGTCATTGAAGTATTGGGAAGAGTGTGTTAAACTTTGGAGATGATATATTATGATGACGTGTTATGACACTGGCGTGAAATTTGTTTGAAGTTGTGCCTAACCCCCCCCCCCCCCCCCCACCTAAGTTGGATTTCATGTAGTTCTTGAGACACATTCTCAGTTATTGCGACGAAACCTCAAAGGTTCTTCATTAATAATAGATTGTGTTTTTTGTTTTGGAAACCTTGGATTATTAGTTTACATTTGCCAAGCATCAGTCGGTGTTCTAAGTACCATCAATTCGTTTTTATTTCCGAAAAGTCATCGTGATGAGATTTCCCACGGTCATTCTGGCAATCTTTTATCCCTTGAGATAGGCTCTCAAAATGTACAAGATATCACAGATGCCAATGAGTGAGTGAAAGAAGATAAAAAGTGGTGATAAAATCGTAGCAATTGTCAATAGGGACTTTTTTCTCTTGGGAGCATATTTTCTCAATTTAGCTTTGGTCAGTGTGTTCAAGTCTTAACATTACCAAGATTTTTGGAGCGAAATATTCTGCTCCTCGTAAATGTATTTAGAAATTGGGCTGTCTGTTAATACCAACACAAGAGGGCAGCACGTAATAGTGAAGATGCTAAAATAGGCTAACAAGAAAATAATTTACTAATTTGCATTTTATTCATGGATTATCATTGGCAGTAACTTATGAAATATATATACACATCCACTGTACATGAAGATAATAAGAGCTGTAAATTCTGGCAGGTGTTATTTTTTTTGTCTGCAATAACATTCACCATGAAGAGCAATGATCGTTTGCAAGCAACATTATTTTAAAAACCATGGTTACCGTGCCAATAATAGAAGTCTTCTCCAGCAACGTCTTGAAGATCTTAATGCTATTCTCAAGCAAGCGTGAAAGTTTCGCGTGCAAGCATTGATGGTTCTGTGTGGAATTTAGCTACGCTATGAAGCGTCCAATTCATAATGTTTTCAATCAGATGTAGCATTCACGAGAATAGTCAGCTTCACAAATACTACATTGCGTGCCCGAGTATGTGAAAGTGGGGGAGTGGTGGTGTCGTAGTTAGTGCACTGTGGTACGAACCCAGCGACCTGGGTTCAACTCCTGCTTACGACCATTAAACAGTGGCGATTATCTGAAATATTCCTGGGCCTCCCCTAGGTCGACGCAGCCTTAAAATATCTGCAGCGATGTGTAAACACTGGGAGACAAAGGTGGCAGGGTGTTGTGGTGGCCCCACTACCCACTCCATGGACTGTGCTTTCCTCAAAGTACTTGCCCTCAGTCTTGCTTGCGAAAGAGGTTGGGGTGGGGGGGGCGGGGGAGAATCTTTGTCTTTTTATGTGAAAATACGTGTGTTTCTGTATATCTCTGGGTTAAGTGGCTCCCTTTTCCAGCCACTGTACACTCTAGAATCCTCTTTGGGCAGGATGAAAGTGCTGGCGATGCGAGAGGCGACGGGACTAATGTGGTGCAGCGAAATCCTGGACCCCATTGCTGTGGCAACCTAAAAGTGCTGGCATGGGTCTGCACAGACCTCTTAAGAGGAGGCTTGCGCTTGATGGCATTGGGCAATGGTGGGCGGTCACACCGTGACAATCGCAGCACGGAGGGCCGGTGCATTCGGTGACCCCAGCACATTCAATGCTGAACAGCATTGAAAATGGTGTGGGCATACTCCCTTCACATGTTCTTGCGTTGTATCAGTCCTGGCTCACAGACACCACGCTGACACCGTTAACTCATCCAGATTATTTTTGGATGGATTTGTGTTGCCTATATGGCAATAGGATCGGGTTATAAATTGTGCAAGCAGTTTTCCTTGCGTTCTTCAAGAGAGATTTTTAAAATAAATATTCTGTTAGCTTTATTATTATTTCTAATCTTGTTTACCAAGAAAAGTCTCATTGAGTCTCTTGACTATTTTTTAAGGAGGTTTCTGCAAATATTTTCTAGACGGGGGCGATGATTTTTGTGTTTACTCCAATTGTGTATATTTGGAGTTTGGATGTTCTCTCCCCTACTCACATGGATTCTTCCCTACACATTTAGAAACATGCTTTTTAGAGTATTGGGCTGCTTTAAAGTTCATGTAACAAACCATTCATTGAGCTGTCATTGCAGCCAGGTCACTTCTGAAAAGAGCTATATAGCTCAGTGGGCCTTACCTGGTAAAATTAAAATATCATTAAAATATTTTATTCAACTTATCAACCTGTGTGATTGCTCGAGCCTTCTTAACAATGCATGTGGATTGTTTTTTTAACAGTCTTCACTCTTGAGCTCTTGTTAGGCCGAGGTCTTTTGTTGGGTTGCCTTCTACTCAAGAGATAATTATCAGCATACTGGGGAGCCGGAGCCACTTGTGTTGGATTCACATTCATTTCCCAAGGTGAGAGAGGGGGGTTAGCCAGGTGTGTGGGTTATAAAACAAACGTTCCAAAGTGCTTTCAAATAAATTCTCGTGTGTCAAGGGTCTCCCCAACTTTTTACAGCAGTTGAGTCATGGCAATCCACATATTTTTTGTTTATGGAGATTTTATATTACTCTTCCAACTGCGCACACACAAAACACACACACACAGACTCAAAACCCTGTCTTTTCTGCGGAGTTACCGAGAGCCGTGCCAGGGTGGTGTTTTCTATCAACGCCCGGCACAGTTTTCTATGGGTGCACACTAGATTTGGCATGGCAATTAAGAATTATGAACCAATGTGTGCACGTGGGGTACGGTTGGTTGAGTTTACTGCCGCCGTGTGGGAGAGCTGCGTGTG